TATAAAATCATATTAAATGTTTCAATTAATCATTGAAGATCCTCAAATAATTCAGTTTATCATCTTTGTATAAAAATGTAAATAATGTACATACAAACCTGAACATTGTACACCAGCATCTTATAATGTCTACAATTATGCAATCCCCATTCTCTATGTGAACAACTCGAAATATTATTTTCATTTCCTACACATTGAACGTCGTCTAACCATATTCTTCCACTGCCATAACATTACCTCCTAGTAAAGCCCTGTCATAACCAAGTTGTCGACAAACAACTTTAGCCATCATCACAAATTGTTCCCCATTCTCCATTGTAAAATACTTCTACACGACCTTTGCCAATAGAACTTTCTGGTCCCCGAAGTCTAACAGAGTTGATAACTGATAAAAAAAGAAAATCAAGAGATAATGCAAAACATAGAAGTCTCAACTCCGAAATATTCTAAGTTACATGTATACATATAAAGTATCCTAATATGTTAGATGCCATTGTAAAATCTTCTTAGGCGAAATTAATGAATTAAATTAGTAACAAAAATTGATAAAAACTTACATGAGTACAATATCAAAACGTTTTAGACAAGTAGACACTATTTGACTTTCATGAGTCTAAATAATTTTTATTTAGATCAGTCCTCATTTCTTTTGTAATATAAATATCTTATTAACACTTTAACTTGCGAATGTTCCCATTAGTTTTCCATTCAATCATTTGATTTTATTGCCATATGGCAACACTGCCCCATAACTTGTTGAAACAAGCAAAAAATAAAAAGTAAATTGTTCACATAGACTTTCTTACAACGTGGAAAACTATATCGTATTTTTAAAATAACTGTCTTTTAATTATTCAGAAATACGTTTCTGGTGCTCTCTAGGCATGGCTTTAGCTGAACCTTAACGGTCAGTTAAAACAAATTAAAATGAATTCTTAAGATAGACAGCACGACATTAAAAGACATAAAATTACACTCAGTGTTAATTTGGAGATGCTTCTGTTAAATATGCAAAAAAAATTTTAATGGACCTTTATAAGCTACAGCCTACAGCTTTAAAAAGCTATAATGAATGTAAACAATCGTAAAAAAACAGATAATTTAAGGATTATTACATTCCTCCACGGAAAATTTGGTCAATGGACTGCCCTTTTCTCGAGTATTATCGAATCTTTCTATGGGCAATCATAAAATAGGTTATGTTTAATTATGTCCTCGTGGAACGAGTTGTGTTTATATGGTTAATTTACGTCCGAAGCTGTGTTTATACTTAAGGAATTTGTCAATATTGTTTCAGTATTTGAAAATCATATTAAATGTTTCGATTAATCATTGAGGATCCTTCAAATAATTCAGTTTATTATCTTTGTAAATAAATGTAAATAATGTAGAAACAAACCTGAACATTGTATACCAGCATCTTCATCATGTGTACAATTATGTGATCCCCATCCACTATGTGAACAACTCGAAATATTATTTTCATTTCCTACACAACGAACTTCGTCTAACCATATTCTTCCACTGCCATGTGGAACATTACCTCCTAGTAAAGCCCTGCCAGCATAGTCATAACCAAGTTGTCGACAAACAACTTTAGCATCGTTTAAATCCCAGCCATCATCACAAATTGTTCCCCATTCTCCATTGTAAAATACATCCACACGACCTCTGCCAATAGAACTTTCTGGTCCCCGAAGTCTAACAGAGTTGATAACTGATAAAAAGAAAATAAAGAGATATTGCAAAACATAGAAGTCTTCAAAAATATTCTAAGTTACATGTTTATATATAAAGTATCCTGTTATGTTGGGTGCCATTGTAAAATATTCTTGTGCGAAATTAATGATTTAAATTATTAACAAAATTTGATAAAAAAACTTACATAAGTACAATATCAAAACGTTTTGGACCATCAGACACACTATTTGACTTTCATGAGTCGAAAATTTTTATTTAGACCAGTCCTCATTTCTTTATGTAATATAAATAAGTTCTTAACCCGTTAACTTGCGAACTTTCCCCATTGGTTTCCCATTCAATCATTTCATTTTATTGCAATATGGCAAAACTACCCATAACTTGTTGATACAGGCAAAAATAAAGAGTAAATAGTTCACTCATACTCTTCGTTTAAAACGTGGAATCTTTATCGCATTTTAAAATAACTGTCTTTTAATTATTGAGAAATATGTTTCTGGTGCTCTCTAGGTATGGCTTTAGCTAAATCTTAACGGTCAGTTAAAACGAATTTAAAATGAATTCTTAAGATAGACAGCACGCCATTACAAGACATAAAATTACACTGCAGTGTAAATTTGGAGATGCTCCTTATTAATGTGCAAAAAATTTTAATGGAGCATCATAAGCTACAGCATACAGCTTTAAATAGCTATAATGAATGTAAACAATCGTAACAAAACTGATAATTTAAGGATTATCATATTCCTCCAAGGAAAAGTTGGCCAATGGACTGCCCATTTTCTCTGGTATTGTTCTGGGCAATCATAAAATTGGTTATGTTTAATTATGTTCGTGGAACGAGTTGTGTTTTTTGGTTAATTTACGTCCGAAGCTGTGTTTATTTGGCATTTGTCAATATCTAAGTATTATAAAATCATATTAAATGTTTCAATTAATCATTGAAGATCCCTCAAATAATTCAGTTTATCATCTTTGTATAAAATGTAAATAATGTACATACAAACCTGAACATTGTACACCAGCATATAATACAATTATGCAATCCCCATCCTCTATGTGAACAACTCGAAATATTATTTTCGTTTCCTACACAATGAACGTCGTCTAACCATATTCTTCCACTGCCATGTGGAACATTACCTCCTAGTAAAGCCCTGAAATAATAGTCATAACCAAGTTGTCGACACACAACTTTAGCATCGTTTATATCCCAGCCATCATCACAAATTGTTCCCCATTCTCCATTGTAAAATACTTCTACACGACCTTTGCCAATAGAACTTTCTGGTCCCCGAAGTCTAACAGAGTTGATAACTGATAAAAAAAGAAAATCAAGAGATAATGCAAAACATAGAAGTCTCAACTCCGAAATATTCTAAGTTACATGTATACATATAAAGTATCCTAATATGTTAGATGCCATTGTAAAATCTTCTTAGGCGAAATTAATGAATTAAATTAGTGATAAAAAACTTACATGAGTACAATATCAAAACGTTTTAGACAAGTAGACACTATTTGACTTTCATGAGTCTAAATAATTTTTATTTAGATCAGTCCTCATTTCTTTTGTAATATAAATATCTTATTAACACTTTAACTTGCGAATGTTCCCATTAGTTTTCCATTCAATCATTTGATTTTATTGCCATATGGCAACACTGCCCCATAACTTGTTGAAACAAGAAAAAATAAAAGTAAATTGTTCACATAGACTCTTCGCTTACAACGTGGAAAACTATATCGTATTTTAAAATAACTGTCTTTTAATTATTCAGAAATACGTTTCTGGTGCTCTCTAGGCATGGCTTTAGCTGAACCTTAACGGTCAGTTAAAACAAATTAAAATGAATTCTTAAGATAGACAGCACGACATTAAAAGACATAAAATTACACTCAGTGTTAATTTGGAGATGCTTCTGTTAAATATGCAAAAAATTTTAATGGACCTTTATAAGCTACAGCCTACAGCTTTAAAAAGCTCTAATGAATGTAAACAATCGTAAAAAAACAGATAATTTAAGGATTATTACATTCCTCCACGGAAAATTTGGTCAATGGACTGCCTTTTTCTCGAGTATTATGGAATCTTTTTATGGGCAATCATAAAATAGGTTATGTTTAATTATGTCCTCGTGGAACGAGTTGTGTTTATATGGTTAATTTACGTCCGAAGCTGTGTTTATACTTAAGGAATTTGTCAATATTGTTTCAGTATTTGAAAATCATATTAAATGTTTCGATTAATCATTGAGGATCCTTCAAATAATTCAGTTTATTATCTTTGTAAATAAATGTAAATAATGTAGAAACAAACCTGAACATTGTATACCAGCATCTTCATCATGTGTACAATTATGTGATCCCCATCCACTATGTGAACAACTCGAAATATTATTTTCATTTCCTACACAACGAACTTCGTCTAACCATATTCTTCCACTGCCATGTGGAACATTACCTCCTAGTAAAGCCCTGCCAGCATAGTCATAACCAAGTTGTCGACAAACAACTTTAGCATCGTTTAAATCCCAGCCATCATCACAAATTGTTCCCCATTCTCCATTGTAAAATACATCCACACGACCTCTGCCAATAGAACTTTCTGGTCCCCGAAGTCTGACAGAGTTGATAACTGATAAAAAAAGAAAATAAAGAGATATTGCAAAACATATAAGTCTTCACTCCAAAATATTCTAAGTTACATATTTATATATAAAGTATCCTGTTATGTTGGGTGCCATTGTAAAATATTCTTGTGCGAAATTAATGATTGAAATTAGTAAAAAAAATTTGATAAAAAAAACTTACATAAGTACAATATCAAAACGTTTTGAGCCATCAGACACACTATTTGACTTTCATGAGTCGAAAAAAATTTTTATTTAGACCAGTCCTCATTTCTTTATGTAATATAAATAAGTTCTTAACCCGTTAACTTGCGAACTTTCCCATACTGGTTTCTCATACAATCATTTCATTTTATTGCAATATGGCAAAACTACCCCATAACTTGTTGATACAGGCAAAAAATAAAGAGTAAATAGTTCACTCATACTCTTCGTTTAAAACGTGGGAATCTTTATCGCATTTTAAAATAACTGTCTTTTAATTATTGAGAAATATGTTTCTGGTGCTCTCTAGGTATGGCTTTAGCTAAATCTTAACGGTCAGTTAAAACGAATTTAAAATGAATTCTTAAGATAGACAGCACGCCATTACAAGACATAAAATTACACTGCAGTGTAAATTTGGAGATGCTCCTTATTAATGTGCAAAAAAATTTTAATGGAGCATCATAAGCTACAGCATACAGCTTTAAATAGCTATAATGAATGTAAACAATCGTAACAAAACTGATAATTTAAGGATTATCATATTCCTCCAAGGAAAAGTTGGCCAATGGACTGCCCATTTTCTCTGGTATTGTCGAATCTTTCTCTGGGCAATCATAAAATTGGTTATGTTTAATTATGTACTCGTGGAACGAGTTGTGTTTATTTGGTTAATTTACGTCCGAAGCTGTGTTTATACTTAAGGCATTTGTCAATATCTATTTCAGTATTATAAAATCATATTAAATGTTTCAATTAATCATTGAAGATCCCTCAAATAATTCAGTTTATCATCTTTGTATAAAATGTAAATAATGTACATACAAACCTGAACATTGTACACCAGCATCTTCATCATGTCTACAATTATGCAATCCCCATCCTCTATGTGAACAACTCGAAATATTTTCATTTCCTACACATTGAACGTCGTCTAACCATATTCTTCCACTGCCATGTGGAACATTACCTCCTAGTAAAGCCCTGAAATAATAGTCATAACCAAGTTGTCGACACACAACTTTAGCATCGTTTATATCCCAGCCATCATCACAAATTGTTCCCCATTCTCCATTGTAAAATACTTCTACACGACCTTTGCCAATAGAACTTTCTGGTCCCCGAAGTCTAACAGAGTTGATAACTGATAAAAAAAGAAAATCAAGAGATAATGCAAAACATAGAAGTCTCAACTCCGAAATATTCTAAGTTACATGTATACATATAAAGTATCCTAATATGTTAGATGCCATTGTAAAATCTTCTTAGGCGAAATTAATGAATTAAATTAGTAACAAAAATTGATAAAAAACTTACATGAGTACAATATCAAAACGTTTTAGACAAGTAGACACTATTTGACTTTCATGAGTCTAAATAATTTTTATTTAGATCAGTCCTCATTTCTTTTGTAATATAAATATCTTATTAACACTTTAACTTGCGAATGTTCCCATTAGTTTTCCATTCAATCATTTGATTTTATTGCCATATGGCAACACTGCCCCATAACTTGTTGAAACAAGCAAAAAATAAAAGTAAATTGTTCACATAGACTCTTCGCTTACAACGTGGAAAACTATATCGTATTTTAAAATAACTGTCTTTTAATTATTCAGAAATACGTTTCTGGTGCTCTCTAGGCATGGCTTTAGCTGAACCTTAACGGTCAGTTAAAACAAATTAAAATGAATTCTTAAGATAGACAGCACGACATTAAAAGACATAAAATTACACTCAGTGTTAATTTGGAGATGCTTCTGTTAAATATGCAAAAAAAATTTTAATGGACCTTTATAAGCTACAGCCTACAGCTTTAAAAAGCTATAATGAATGTAAACAATCGTAAAAAAACAGATAATTTAAGGATTATTACATTCCTCCACGGAAAATTTGGTCAATGGACTGCCCTTTTTCTCGAGTATTATCGAATCTTTCTATGGGCAATCATAAAATAGGTTATGTTTAATTATGTCCTCGTGGAACGAGTTGTGTTTATATGGTTAATTTACGTCCGAAGCTGTGTTTATACTTAAGGAATTTGTCAATATTGTTTCAGTATTTGAAAATCATATTAAATGTTTCGATTAATCATTGAGGATCCTTCAAATAATTCAGTTTATTATCTTTGTAAATAAATGTAAATAATGTAGAAACAAACCTGAACATTGTATACCAGCATCTTCATCATGTGTACAATTATGTGATCCCCATCCACTATGTGAACAACTCGAAATATTATTTTCATTTCCTACACAACGAACTTCGTCTAACCATATTCTTCCACTGCCATGTGGAACATTACCTCCTAGTAAAGCCCTGACAGCATAGTCATAACCAAGTTGTCGACAAACAACTTTAGCATCGTTTAAATCCCAGCCATCATCACAAATTGTTCCCCATTCTCCATTGTAAAATACATCCACACGACCTCTGCCAATAGAACTTTCTGGTCCCCGAAGTCTAACAGAGTTGATAACTGATAAAAAGAAAATAAAGAGATATTGCAAAACATAGAAGTCTTCACTCCAAAATATTCTAAGTTACATGTTTATATAAAGTATCCTGTTATGTTTGGTGCCATTGTAAAATATTCTTGTGCGAAATTAATGATTTAAATTAGTAACAAAATTTGATAAAAAAACTTACATAAGTACAATATCAAAACGTTTTGGACCATCAGACACACTATTTGACTTTCATGAGTCGAAAAAAATTTTTATTTAGACCAGTCCTCATTTCTTTATGTAATATAAATAAGTTCTTAACCCGTTAACTTGCGAACTTTCCCATTGGTTTCCCATTCAATCATTTCATTTTATTGCAATATGGCAAAACTACCCATAACTTGTTGATACAGGCAAAAATAAAGAGTAAATAGTTCACTCATACTCTTCGTTTAAAACGTGGGAATCTTTATCGCATTTTAAAATAACTGTCTTTTAATTATTGAGAAATATGTTTCTGGTGCTCTCTAGGCATGGCTTTAGCTGAACCTTAACGGTCAGCTAAAAACAAATTTAAAATGAATTCTTAAGATAGACAGCACGCCATTACAAGACATAAAATTACACTGCAGTGTAAATTTGGAGATGCTCCTTATTAATGTGAAAAAAATTTTGAGGGGGGCATCATAAGCTACAGCATACAGCTTTAAAAAGCTATAATGAATGTAAACAATCGTAACAAAACTGATAATTTAAAGATTATCCTATTCCTCCAAGGAAAAGTTGGCCAATGGACTGCCGATTTTCTCTGGTGTTGTCGAATTTTTCTCTGGGCAATCATAAAATTGGTTATGTTTAATTATGTACTCGTGGAACGAGTTGTGTTTATTTGGTTAATTTACGTCCGAAGCTGTGTTTATACTTAAGGCATTTGTCAATATCTATTTCAGTATTATAAAATCATATTAAATGTTTAAATTCATCATTGAGGATCCCCAAATAATTCAGTTTATCATCTTGTATAAAAATGTACATACAAACCTGAACATTGTACACCAGCATCTTCATAATACAATTATGGATCCCCATCCTCTATGTGAACAACTCGAAATAATATTTTCATTTCCTACACAAGAACTTCGTCTAACCATATTCTTCCACTGCCATAAGGAACACTACCTCCTAGTAAAGCCCTGACAGCATAGACATAACCAAGTTGTCGACAAACAATTTTAGCATTGTTTAAATCCCAGTTATCATCACAAATTGTTCCCCATTCTCCATTGTAAAATACTTCTACACGACCTTTGCCAATAGAACTTTTGGTCCCCGAAGTCTTACAGAGTTAAACTGATAAAAAAGAAAATAAAGAGATATTGCAAAACATAGAATCTCAACTCCGAAATATTCTAAGTTACATGAATACATATGAAGTATCCTAATATGTTAGATGCCATTGTAAAATCTTCTAAGGCGAAATTAATGAATTAAATTAGTAACAAAAAATTGATAAAAAATATTACATGAGTACAATATCAAAACGTTTTAGACAAGTAGACACTATTTGACTTTCATGAGTCTAAATAATTTTTATTTAGATCAGTCCTCATTTCTTTTTGTAATATAAATATCTTATTAACACTTTAACTTGCGAATGTTCCCATTAGTTTTCCATTCAATCATTTGATTTTATTGCCATATGGCAACACTGCCCCATAACTTGTTGAAACAAGCAAAAAAATAAAAAGTAAATTGTTCACATAGACTCTTCGCTTACAACGTGGAAAACTATATCGTATTTTTAAAATAACTGTCTTTTTAATTATTCAGAAATACGTTTTTGGTGCTCTCTAGGCATGGCTTTAGCTGAACCTTAACGGTCAGTTAAAAACAAATTAAAAATGAATTCTTAAGATAGACAGCACGACATTAAAAGACATAAAATTACACTGCAGTGTTAATTTGGAGATGCTCCTTTTTAATATGCAAAAAAATTCTAATGGAGCTACATAAGCTAAAGCCTGCAGCTTTAAAAAGCCATAATTAATGTAAAAATCGTAACAAAACAAATAATATAAGGATTATCACATTCCTCCACGGAAAATTTGGTCAATAGGCGGTCCTTTTCTCTGGTATTACTTAATCTTTTATGGGCATAGATATAATAGGTTATGTTTAATTATGTCCTTGTGGAACAAGTTGTGTTTGTTTAGTTATAAATCCATACCCTGGCACGAGTTACATTCTCCTGAGTATCCTTTCATACACGTGCAGTTTAATGATCCATTAATTTTACGATAGTAAGTGTTGGGTCCACATAAAGGAAGTCGAAAAGTGTTTGTCGCTATATAGAATAATAAAATTAAAAATAAAATCAACTATGGATTTCAAAAAAACATGTTCTTTCTCAAAGAACACAATTTGTCATTCAGTATCCACTATGACGTACCCAGCTAGGAAATTTGTGATGTATTGTTGGTATCTTTGGTGTTCACGAATATCGTAAAACAAAACAATTAAATAAATGTTGAAAATTTACAGAGTATGAACAGATTTGCTGGCTGTTCGGGATACTATAAAGGATGTATCTAAAGAAGTTAGATAATTAAAAATGTTCAGGAAATTATCAATTCATCAATATTTCTAACAAAATGTGCCAAAGCTCATGTATTTTGGCATTGCCTTGTCTTGATTATTTAAAAGTAAAATGAATTAAGATTTAATCTCGAAAACCATGAGAGTACTTCGTAATTGCCTCACTTTGAACTGCATGCAGAAAGAAAATGAAAAGTTTCAAATCTAGTTTAATCCAAAGATTTAAAAGTTTGAACTCTGTTTTGCAATGTACTAAATATTTAGAAGATTTGATAAATATTAAGCTCACTGCACAACATGCTCAAATTGGACGTTTTGTCTTTCATTCTATTTTCATGAATTTTTTCTTATTTAAAACTGATTACAAGCCAGAGTGATTGTTGAAATGATGTAAGAAACAATAAAGATATAAATTTAACACCCAACAAATTTGGCAAGAATAGACAAACGGCAAAACATCCAGATTAGACACTTTGCACTTTGAACTTAATGTTTATCAAATTTTCTATAATTTTGGAAGGAAGAACAACCGTTTAATAAGGCAATGTAACTTTAAACTTTTAACGTCTTTCAATTTTAAGTACATTAGCGTGAGAGTTTTGCAAGTCTTAGCTTGTTATGTCAAATAAGTAAATATTTAACTACCGTTTGAGTCAGGAGTGATACTGTGTATAGCTACAGCCAAATCAAGATAACCGTTGTTTACAGGAAGAAAATATTTACGCCTCGTACGTTGATCTGTTGTGTTATGGACACTAACGACACTTCGTCCGACACTAGTTATGATATAAATGAAATCTTTAAATACTGCCATGGGACCTCCTGAAGTTCCAAAATCAATTACATTATGGGAGTAGTAATCACAAGAAAAAACATTTCCGTTTGACACTCGCCAATAAATCTTCTCTTTAGCCATGTCAAGCGTTAGATCATGTGCTATTGATTGAAGTGAAACTGAAAAAATATCATGTTTATTTGCAGTCATGCTCCATAACCATAAGAAAAGTTCTGTACTTTCTGCCAAGAATAGATACCTTAATAAAAATATTTGTATTGTAAATTAGTGTTCTCTATACGTAATTAAATACATAAACAATAAACAGGCTAATATATTCATAAAACAAAAGATAGAATTTTTTTTAATTTAGACAAAGATGTTGTCAAAGTATTCAGAACTACTTTCATATATAGACGGTTTAATGGAACATATTCATGAAATTTGATAATATATCAAGATAAAGCTATTGTAGCTAACAGGAAAAGATCATCTTTAATATTTGAAATCCCTCGTTTGAAAACCGAACTAAAATATATGAAGTAATTAAACATTGCATGTGATTCAGAGCATAATAAATGTAATATATTATTTTTATTCACATAACTTCTATAATGATTGGTATTGTTTGAGATTATTGTCGGAATGAGTAATGCTGTAGTTTGGAGTTGCTGCTGAATGAATTGTATTGGTAATTGATAATGCTAAAAATTACCTGATGCGTGGAAATTTTGTTCGAATTGAAAATTTGGTGTTGGTAAATGATATGCACCATTTAATGTAGATATAAATTTAAGAAAGCTTTGTCATTTCAGGTTTAAGCTTTCTTTATTTTTCAGTTTCATCTTGCATGAAAAGTAGCAGCTCCTTGGATGGATCATCGTCTACAAATGTCTTTAAAAGAGCTATAGCTTTACAAACATTGTCTTTGTTGATACTTTTTTCAGTTTGTTTGGACAAACGATTTTTACAACTATCTTAACCTTCTCTATTCAATTGTCAAATTTCTTCATTGTTTTTCTGAAAATTAGAAAAATTGACACTGGAGCTAGCGCTATTGGTATCATTTGAAAATGATGATTCTATTGCCATGTCATGTTCGTGTTTTAAGAATCTCTTGATTAGACAAGCTGCAAAACTGCTTGAACACTATGGCTTACTTTATCGAAAATGTTTGATGCAACTGGCAGTTTTAATTATCATCGCAGCATATTTGCATTCTCTTATACATTTCTTAAATATATTACTCATTTGAGTAACAATAAAGTCCATGTATTCTTGTCGTTCATTGCACCTTGCCCCGAACTCTTTAAAAACTTTCTCGTATATACTAACGTTCTTTGGTTTTTGTGTTCGTGAAAATTAATTTTTCTTGTAATATGATAAAATTAATGCCCAACATAAAGTTTTAATTAGAGCCATAGAAATAGACCAAAAGTTGTAAAATGGAATTTATACCGACGTTTCGTCCTTACTCAAGACATATTCAGTCAAATTATAATTTATAATGAGATGTTAAAACAAGATATTGTATTTACAAAAGGTGTTAAATTACGTATTAAGGAGGCGGTGCAAAATGGAATACATGATAAAGAAGTTGAGAAGTAAAATATACTGACGCTAAGAGAGGTTAAGTGCAATGGATCTTTCTTGAACGATGAGTGAAGACTTGTATTTATTAATTAGAAGGCTCTCATGAATGGAGAGTTCATAGGAATCGTTAGAAGAAATTTTTTAAATTTGTAAATTAATTATAACATATTCAGAAAGTTCTCGCTTCACAGGCTTTTCAGACAATTTCTTTTAATCTCTAAAGTGATTATTATCTTCAGATTCATCATCAGTTGAGCAACTACAGATCTAACGTTTGCATCAATTACACTAAGAAACACTGCATGAACTAAAGGTATTGGAACGATTTTCCAATCCCGTGATTTGATTGGATGTGTGATTGGATTTATTGCAGGGTAGTGTGCAGACACTTAATTTGCAACTCTTGACTTTTCAATATACTCCGCCATTCAATGCAAGTTAAAAGAAGGCTTGAAAAACTATAAACTTGATATACTGATTTTTCTAAATTGCCACATTTTTGAAAACTAAAATTCTTTTTATATTTTGATGTAACTACGTGGAATGTGCGCAGTTTTTATCTTCAAAAAAAAACGAAAGGTTGAAGTTTCTTACGTTCACCACCTTCGTGAATTATTTAAAATTTATTGCTATTTCGTATTGAGATTGTTGCACAGTATATGAAAGGGCACAGCAAAGCAACAAAAAATGCTCCCAATCTGTTGAAATCTTTTGTGTAGGGCATATCTTATTAAGCATATGATTACCATGGAGGCGTCAAGCAAATTGCATTTTCTGCTAAAAAAAAGCGCTCTTAGGTGGCCAGCCGAAGCCAGTAATCTTATTAAATGTACAACACCAAGTTGCACAGTGAAGTTAGACTACTTTTTTGTTTTTGGTTGTGGCAAACCAATATTCTGATTGTATTTGACTAAAGTTTCATCGGTAAAGTAATTATTTAATATTTTATTGCTGTTTTTATCGGCCTGTTTTATTTTATTTAACGATTTCATCAATTATAAACATTGATCCCTCCGTTGTTACATATTTCTCAAAGCTTTTTGATTGCTCAACATAATTATCGCTGTCGATTTTTGCAATTTCAGGATCTGCATGTTATTTTCTACAGCATGTGTGCTGAATAATCACACGAGCTGAGCTCATCCTTTCAGTTGGTTTGAAATGCCTCAGAGTGCTGGCTAAATCTCGTTAATTTTATTGAAAAGCCGTCAAAATATATGACATTTGTTTCTTTCTACACAAAAAAATACTAATATTTGCTCCCTTGGGTAAAAGCGAGTTTTGTTTTCCTTCGAAAATCAATATTTTTTTTTATTATTGTACCTCTAAATAACAGGCCATGATACGGACTTTAAAAATTCAACTTTTCTATTAAATTAAAATGCCGTCTCTAAAAATAAAAACTCTTAGCTTACTTAAGAAAACCCTCCAATAGATTGACATCAATTACGCTTACAAGTAAATAAAAAAATTCCAATATCGCCTTACCCATGTTTTGAGTCAAATGCAATGCTGGAAAATTGTAAGCCTGGTTGAAGCCTCATAACACTTGTAATTTTCTTTTTCAAATGAATTTGGTAGATAATGTTCGTGTAGTCAATGTAAAAGATACGACGACCAATCCAGTCAACTGTAATATCATGAACAGAAACACTTTTCGCAAAAACTTCGTTTCTAGTTAAGTCAAAATTTCCCCGTTTGATGTCTTTGTCATCAATGTAGTAAAGCACATTCTCAACTACATCAATTTCTATGTCATTATATTTTGATGCATGGTCAGATTTATTCTTACTGGATCCATTAATAGTGCTGACATGAATATCTCCAGTAATAGAATCGACAGAGTATACTTTATCAAAGCTCATAATAATCAAATATGGCTTTGGATAAACATCTAAATAAATAATAAAAAACTATAAGTAACAACAATGCAAGTGGATTAAAAAAATGCAAACTTTTATAGACTTTACGATCATAATATTGGTGAAAGACCAGAATAAGTATTTTCAGAAAGAATTTTTCACTATAGAAATATTACTAATAACTGAAATTAGATTTGCTGCATAACTTCTACCTATTATTGTTGCATATTGTTTTTGGTGCTATGAACAAGAAACTATGAAAATTTGTCAAATCCAATGAATATACCTTTGTAGAAACACATTTCTGTTTGCATTTGCATCATTTCTTTGTTGTATTGTTTTACTTCTTTGCATGCAGTTGTGTTATCGTCATTGCCATTTTTATCAACGCAAGTTTCCATCCATTCTTTCACGTTGTCTTTTAATCTCTCTAAGCTTTTCTTGCAGATTGATATGTCGTCATTACCATTTACTATTTGTACACTAATAGACAGGATTATGAGAGTCCCAAGAAACGCTTTTCTTGAGCTTGATATCATCTTTATTTTCTATTTATGGACGATTATTAATTTCTTTAAAGCTTTCGTAGTAAAACATTTACTTTATTTATGAAAGGTTTATCATCAATATAATCATATAATCATTTGTTCTTAAACTTTTTGGATGTATAAATCAAGTATTGATTTCTATAATTATGTAACATTTTAACTTCCTTTCTAAAAGTATTTTCACGTTTGCTTTCAGAAAATTGATGATGATTGAATATTGTTGCAATAGATTAGACAAATTGTTCATTATAACGACTCATGTTTACAACAATTCATATAAGTAGAGTTCACCAGCCTAGAACGTGTTTTGAATAAATAGATGTAAGGTTTCTAGGAAACGAAAGCATAGAAAGAAATAAAACATTTTAATGTCCACTATAAGGAAATGACGCAATATATGAAATTCACCAAGAGCAGTTTAGAAAAAATTTAAAATGGGTTGATTTCAAATTTGCTCATGTTAACTCAGTTTACCAGATGAATGGGAAGAACGTATTGCTTAACTAAGCCAGCAAAATTAAATGCAAAATAGTCTGTTGCTTAGTGTTTAATAGACTCTTTGTCTCTGTAACTACATGCCGTCTAGTTACAGAAATGGAGGCCGTTAAACAATACATGATATTCTGCTTTACAACATCTGCCAGTCGTATAGAAGTTCGACTCTCATAATTATATAAATTCTGAATTAAATGAAATTTATAAGCATTTTGACAGAGCTGCTAAAGTAAAGAAAGTCTAAAAGCTAAATAGAGGAATGCAACTTTGCAGTATTAAAAATTCCTACTTCTTCAAATATTTTGTTTCAATATTCTTGCAATATTGAATGGTTGCAGAAGAAGCAAGAAACATAGAACAAACAAGAACAAACAAGAGCCAAGAAATGTATCATTTGTTCTGCATGTACTTCTTGCTCTTTATAATGACTTCGGTATTGATGTTTGATGATGATTTGCGCCATTTTAATTTGTTGATTTATGTACCTCTCTTTCTTTATCATTTCCTTCAATCATAAATTACAGTTTTAATGTCCAATCAAGTATTCTTTATCACACATGCATTCAAGTTTTAGCTTACTATTTCCTCTGGCGTATCAATGTAATTATGATTTAATACATTTCCAGACATTCTAAATATCAATTAGTAGAACTTTATCGTTGGTTGTGATCAATCAATTCGTTTTGTTTTCATCATAAGGATAAATATGAAATGATAAAGAAATTTGCGAAACGGTAAAATTTTTAAAGAATTTTAGACTAGTCAAATTACCAGATGGCAGCTATGTATATATGATGCATGCTGCTACCATAATTACAGAAAATGCTTAAAAAACATACAAAATGTTTCATAAAGCTTTAAGTATTTTATAAGATAAAGATTGTGTTAGATTATCTGTTGGATTACGTATAAGCATGACTATGATAAATGAAATGTATGTTCTTAATAAGGAAGTGAAATCCATAAGAGCTATTGTTCTTGCATTATGTTATAAACTCTGAATTTTAAGTTTTCTTTATGTTTTCTTTGCTTACCATTGAAGAGGAAATTTGGCTATCAATGAAATTTTCCTTCATTTTGATAAGCATTTTATCCTTCTCAAACAGCTTGTCTCTTGTCGTGCTTGTGGCTTTTGAATTTTGACATCAACACAAGACGAGTACTTTTGTGGACGGGGATTAATTTCATGGAAATTTATAGAAAAAATATGCAACAAAAATAGCAACAATCCAAGAAATACTATTTACATTGAAAATAACAGACCAAATTATTTTAATTCCTTATAACAATACCCGGAAAAAAATGTTTATTTTGACGTTATTCAAATTGGTCAACTATTTCAAGTGTCTCTACAATCTAAAAGAAAAATATGCACTGCAGATGTTAGTTTCTGTTCATAGATAAGATACTATAAGCCAAAAGAGTATTGTCTATAAACAACTTTTGTTCAATTTTTAGAGTTCATTATATTATATTTTATCCATTTTCTACTTAACCCAACATGAAACTTTCTAAAGTACATCATTTTCAAACAAGGCTAGTTTCTTAGGTGATTATCTTTATAGATGAACTATATACGTGACGGTGACACAAATTTTCATGATTTTATATATATTTGGGATAAAGGACAATAATTGCAGAAATTTAGTGTCAGAAAAAATATGCAACAAAAATATTGTTTCAACAATTCCGAGAAATATCATTTACATTGAAAATAACAGACCGAATTACTTTAATTTCAAATAACAACACCCCGTGAAAAATATGTTTATGTTGACGTTATTCAAATTGGTCAACTATTTCAAGTGTCTCTATAAACTAAAAGAAAATGTGCACTGCAGATGTTAGTTTCCGTTCATAGATAAAATACTACAAAGCCAAATAAGGAGTATTGTCTATAAGCAATTTTTGTTCAATTTTTATAGTTAATTATAATATGGTTTACCCCCTTTTTACTTAACCTAACAAGAAACTTTCTAAAGTACATCAAATTGAAACAAGGCTGGTTTCTTAGGTAATTATCTTTATACATCCCATTTGGCATGATTTTAATTTCTCATGTTTTTATTATATTTAATTCATTTCAACGTATTCATTCCCTTTCCTCTCTCAAAAATACTGAAAATAAGGACAAAAAAGACACATTAATGTTGTAAACCCTCCCCCCTTAATCATTTTTAGAGCAAAATTTACGAATTACATTATTCATGATATACATGATATTCTGTTTACAACATCTGTCTGTCGTAGAGAGAAGCTCGACTCCATAATTATATAAGTTCTGAATTGAATGAAATTTCTGAGCATTTTGACAGAACTGTCAAAATAAAAAAGTCTCAACAACTAAATGTAAGAATGCAACTTTGCAGTATTGAAAAATTCTTACATCTTCAAATATTTTGTTTCATACAGTTAAAAGGCGTTTTCCATCTTCAAAAATGGTCTTGTAATATTGAATAATTGTAGAAAAAGCAAGAAATGTATCGTTTGTTCTTTTGCTTCTGTATTTATGTTTGATGATGATTTGCCCTATTTCAATTTGTTGAATTATGTACCTCTTTCTCTTGATTATTTCTCTCAATCCTAAATCTTAGTTTCAATGTCTAATCAAATATTCTTTATCATACATGCATTCAAGTTTTAGTTTACCATCATTCTCATGTAAAACGTAAAACACTTTGCAAAAATTTCATAATTCTTAAATGTCTATGATAGTTTAAAAAAATTGTTTTTGTTATCTGTATTTAGACTAAAAATACTTAATGATTGTTGCTCTAAATATTTTTGATGTAGCTACTATTTCCTCTGGCGTATCAATGTAATTATGATTTAATACATTTCCAGACATTCCTAAATATCAATTAGTAGAACTTTATCGTTGGTTGTGATCAATCAATTCGTTTTGTTTTCATCATAAGGATAAATATGAAATGATAAAGAGATTTGCGAAACGGTAAAATTTTTAAAGAATTTTAGACTAGTCAATTTAAAGATGGCAGCTATGTATATATGATGCATGCTGCGCTACCCTAAATTACAGAAAATGCTTAAAAACATACAAAATGTTTCATAAAGCTTTAAGTATTTTATAAGATAAAGATTGTGTTAGATTATCTGTTGGATTACGTATAAGCATGACTATGATAAATGAAATGTATGTTCTTAATAAGGAAGTGAAATCCATAAGAGCTATTGTTCTTGCATTATGTTATAAACTCTGAATTTTAAGTTTTCTTTATGTTTTCTTTGCTTACCACTGAAGAGGAAATTTGGCTATCAATGAAATTTCTCCTTTGAATTCTGATAATTTATTTTCTATCCTTCTCAAACAGCAGCTTAGAAAAATTGGAACTGAAACAAAAATTGTCGTGTCTTAAAGTGCTAGTAATATTGGCTTTTTGAATTTTGACATCAACACAAGACGAGTACTTTTCCGTGGACGGGGACACAAATTTTCATGATTTTTCATTATATTTTGGGATGAAGAGCCATAATTGCTGAAATTTAGTGTCAGAAAAAATATGCGACAGAAATATTGTTTCAGCAAGTCCAAGAAATACTATTTACATTGAAAATAACAGACCAAATTATTTTAAGTCCTTATAACAATACCCCAGAAAAAAATATGTTTATTTTGACGTTATTCAAATTGGTCAACTATAGAGGCTTTGCATGAACACGTGACTTATAACTTGTTGATTAGCAACCGTAACTATGGCGCCATGATAGGGGGCATGCAAAACGCACATGACGTCAAGTCAATACGAACGAGTGCCATGCCTTCCTAAATATCGTGAAACTTTAAGTGTTGAAGATCGTGTTAAATACGAAGAGAAGTTAAAGTTAATTTGTGGTATCGATCCCTACAATGTTAGTCACAAATTTTTCTGACGCGATGGATTTATGGCCCAATGTTGAGTTCCCCGACATTGTGACCTACCTGTTGTTTTCAACAAGTAGGTATACCAAGGAGCAACTGAAAGCTTACAAAGCTTAGAATCATACCAGTATTTTGTTGCTGGATGGGTGAGGTGTGTGTATGTCGGTAAAGCAAGTACTAACATCAAGATTTTAATCGCAAAGGTTAGTATAATTATTACTTAAAACGTGTTTTACAATCATTGTCACAATCAGTATGAAAAAAATTTGGTGTTTAATTCATAGGTAAATCATTCGCAAAGCCTGAATGACACTCCTCTAAAACCATGGGCTGCTGTATATAACAATGGGTCTGTTATAACAGCACATTGCAATAAAGCTGGACTGGGAGAATGTTGTTCACATGCTGGAGCGTTTTCTTTGCTGTTGAAACTGGTGTACGAATAGTAAAGAACAGGACTTGTACGTCTATTCCCTGTCAGTGGCTAATGCCTAAGACAGTATCAAAGATTACTTATCAAGAACTTTGTGACGTTGATTTTACTTCTTCCAAACGTAAAAAGCAAAAGCTGGATGAACATATCAATGAATTAGCTTCTAGTTCATCATCTACTACCGATCAGACAATGACAACAGACAAGCCTCGTTTGCAAAACAAGTACAAGCCGTCTGAAAATCAAATAAAGAAGTTTTATCAACATCTAAGCGACACTAAAAGTAATCCTGCAATCTTGTCACTGATTTCTCCATTTAACGAAAAATTTGTGCCAAAGAGACCTGCTGTTAACCTTCCAGACCCCTTGAATAAGTTGTACTCCCACCATTTGCTTGTCTTGAGTATGAGGAGCTAATTTCGAAATCAAAAGAAGTTATGGAGACAATTACAATCAATCAACAACAAGCTGATATGATAGAAAAAGCTACACGAAATCAAAGCAAGTCTCAGATTTGGCATCAAATGCGAATGGGGAGAATAACTGCCAGCAACTTCCACAGGGCTTGTCGTACAAATCCTGAAACACCATCACTAAGCCTGGTCAAAGATGTTTGTTATGGTTCACAGTTTAAGTCTGATGCAACATCGTGGGGAAAGGCCAATGAGAAGAGAGCCCTAAATCAATATACACAAGTCAGCATTGACATATTGTTATTTCATGAATTGTTCATCCAGTTAATTAAGTGTTTATTGCTGCAAATTGATTGCACATAAAAATTTTTTTTATGCACTCATAAACCTAATAGCAAACATGTACTCATTTGGCACAAAAATTTAATTTTCTTAATTACATGGGCTTTGCTGTGCAATATATCAAAATAAATAATTAGATACATAAATATATATCTTAATTTTATTTAGGTAATGAAAGAAAATCATAGCATCTTCTCAGTTAAAGAATCTGGATTTGTAATTGATCCAAAGTACCCTTTTCTTGGTGCAAGTCCAGATGCAATCAGTTACTGCAACTGCCATGGTGAAGGATGTGTTGAGATTAAGTGCCCATACAGTTTAAGAAACAAGACTATCCAGCATGGCATAGTGATGGAAAGAATTTTTGTCTCACTAAGACACCAAATGGTACCTTACAGATGGACAGGAAACACCAATATTACTATCAAGTCCAACTGCAATTAGCCTCTACAAAGTTAAAGTTTGTAGATTTTGTTGTCTGGACTCAAATGACATTTATATTGAACAAATTCAGAGAGATGACGAATTCCTTGCTGTCAATATTGAAAAGCAAAAGAAATCTACATTTTGCAATTTTACCAGAGCTTCTTGCAAAGTTTCACACTTCAAAACCACTTCCATCAAATGACACATTATTGTTTTGCTATTGCAGAGTTAAGCTAGATGACACTTGTTTTAAAATGTAGTAATGATAAATGTTTGTTTAAATGTTTTCACGAAGTGCTGTGGTTTATCTCGAAAGCCGGCAGCAAACAAACCATGGTTCTGTGTAGACTGTAGAAAACTTTTGTAGAAAGGAGAAAATGTAAATAGTTCACTAGCAACTATTTCAGAAGCAACTTCTGAGCCAATTATGCTAAGTTATGATGTTTGCAATATTTATTATTTATCTGTTTCAACATATTTTAGAATAAATTGTTCATGTTTAATGTTGTCGCACTACTCTAAAGAAACTACTGATGGACAACAATTAACTAAAGCACAACATACTGTAGCTATCTTGTCAAGTAAGCAATGTTCACCATCATCTGCTCGCAAATAGTCGATTGGAGCTATTCCATGACCAAGAATTGTGTATTTCTGACGAACACTGCCAATAACTCGCTCCACATGTATGCGAACATTAGCTATGGATCTTGTTGTTTCTATCTCTACAGGTGACAGTTGAGCCTTGCCTTTAGTAAAAGCTGGAATCTTAATACTTGCACAGTATAATCCGGCACTGTCTGCAATGTTAAATCCTCTGTCTGCTAGAACTAAGTCACCAGGAACCAGCTTGTTTAATATGCCTGAGTGTTCAGTAATAAATTTGTCTGACGCCCTACCACCCCATGCTTTTGATATAAACGATACTGTACCTTGTGGTGTAATCCCTATCAGAAACTTTGCAGTGTTATGATGTTTATAAGACGACCAAGTATGGGCTCTAGCTAAAAAATCGGAAGGGCGGTCGATAAATACTTCGAAGCAATCGATTATGACAGCACAAGAAAACCTTTCTCTAAAACACATTGGAAGTGTCAGTCTTAATTGTTCTCTATCTGGCCAATGAATCAAATTTCATTCTTGAAAACATAACATCTATGCAGCTTTGAAACACTCTTGATACAGTGGATGCATGAATGCCAAATCTGTAGCCAAGATCTTGAACAGGTAAGTTTAACCGTAATCGCATTAGAGTCAATAACATTTGTTGAAATCTTGTCAAGGAATTTCGCATTACAAGACCTGGACTTATTAGCTCAAGAATTCCCATAAATACAGCCATATTTGGTAGACCAGTGTAGAATCTAAGCTTTTCATCATCAGTTAGATTTTCGGGCGCCAAAGGATCATTAGTAGAGTTTCGTGTGGTTTTTTCTTGAAGCAAATCGATATCGATTGATAGCAAATCGGTTTGCACTTCGATACTTCGTGTGCTCATATACTCGGTCTGTGTTTCTTGTGATTCTGTATCTAGGTTATCAGCTTCTAAACCTTCCCCCATATCATTATTTATGCCAGAATTACATTCTAGATGATATCTTGGATCAGTTAGATGACGAAAGTGAGGACCATTATCCACCATTTCTTCCGAGGTTGCTTCCACTTGTTGAGTGCTTATAGCTTGCTTTTCTTTGTTCTCTCCAGTTAGCTCAAATTGAAGACGCCTTTTTAGGGCTCTTTGACTAGTTCGATGGTGCCTTGTAAGCGAGGAGGTTTTTGATGGCTGACTTACTGAACCAGATAAGTGACCCATGGCGATTGTTGGAGCCCAGTCAGGATGAGTCGTCTCATATACTGTAGCTGGTTTCCCTGAATAAAAATAATAAACCTAGAGCAACACCGTACAATCAACGCTGAAGATGCGTATTTGAAATGACTTATTTCACAGATACAGTTTACCTTGATGGAAATGAAGCGAGCAAACAGTTACATTTTTTATTTGGCCATTAAACACAGCGTCCCGCCGAATGTTTGAAAGCCATTTTCCACGCCGTTGAAGAGAAATCTGTCTGGTTTTTTCACCCTGATGTGTAATAACCTTTGGTAAATTAAAAAATCTGATATTTTTGTCCCTTTCAGAGCGTTTTCCACAGCCTACAACACAGCAAAACTTTCCCATGGCTCGAACGTATTTTGTTTGTTTTTTACATGCCCCCTATCATGGCGGCATAGTTACGGTTGCTAATCAAACGCAGTAAGTCACGTGTTCATGCAAAGCCTCTATTTCAAGTGTCTCTACAATCTAAAAGAAAAATATGCACGGCAGATGTTAGTTTCTGTTCATAGATAAGATACTACAAGCCAAAAAAAGTATTGTCTATAAGCAACTTTTGTTCAATTTTTAGAGTTCATTATAATATGGTTTACCCCTTTTTACTTAACCTAACATGAAACTTTCCAAAGTACATTATATTCATACAAGGCTAGTTTCTTAGGTAATTATCGTTATACATCCCATTTGGCATGATTTTAATTTCTCATGTTTTTAATATACTTAGATCAATTCAACGTATTCATTCCCTTTCCTCTCTCAAAAATGCAAAGAATAAGGACAAAAAAGACACATTAATGTTGTGACCCCCCCCCCCACCGTAAACATTTTCAGAGAAAAATTTACATTTTCCACTTAAATTTTCATAACTTACAATCATCATACAGGAAAGTTGTTTTTCATTTTCACCGAATGCAGAAAATACAGATAAAACCTGCACAAACACCACGGTGGTAAACCACGGTGGTTTTATCAGGTGGTCAGAAACACGGTCGTTTATCACCGGTGGTTTTATCACCACGTGGTGATCACACGCACACTCACGTTTTATCACCACGTGGTGATCACACGCACACTCACGTTTTATCACCGTGGTTTTTATATGCGAAAATACAGATTAAACTGCTCCTCATCGGTTGTTAGTTCTTGAACCAAGTGCAGAAAATCTTCTTGTACTCTCCTTTGCCTGTTTATTGACGAGCCCATCATCTTTTCATTTTATTATTTTTTCCCGTTTTTCAACCTCTTCCAGCTCGTACAATATGCAAACAGATGCTAGTAACTTAGCCTGATGACTAGACGCCATGTTGATAGTCGCAATGTGGTCGCCATGCTCGTTTTTGCATGTGTGTTTCTGACGTTCAAGCGACTAACGCGCGCGCATCAATTCGCTTTAGTCGCGCGACCAAAGCGACTGCACAGTGTGTTTCAGTGTGTTGTAGAATTATGTTAGCGAGTATGGGGCCTAAGGAGGGGTACATTGAAACCCCCATCGGTTTGTTTAAAAATTTCATTGTCGAAAGAAAAAGCGCTTTTAATGCAACAGTCAATAAGTTTTTTAAGAGTTCTTTTCTCAAGTTTAGTTAAAATTTGATTTTCTCAAAAATTTCTTTCCAAAATTATTTTTATTGCTCTGTTCAAAGGCACGTTGGTAAATAAAGATTCGACGTCAAACGAAACGAATTGATAGCCTTCAATAAATTTTTAGGAATAATGTGGATAGAGTTTACGGCAACGAACGAATCGGTAAGAGTAAATTCATTAGAAGCGAGAGGATTGAGTAGTATTGAAGAGAATATTTCCTGGGTTTATGTGTGGTATGTTAGTACCATCCAATTCCACTTCACACTTCCGTTGGAATGATGTAACATTCATATCAGTAGAGCGTCAGTTCTCTTGTAAATATAGTCTTGACGATGAACGTGTAACAAATTAAGTATAACTATTCAAATAAAATTGTCTTGTTTCCTTCCAAATATTGAGTTAAAATGAATATCCTTTCTCGGCGACGATCATGTCTATCATGATCTCTATCACGGCCACGGTCTCGTTCTGATCACGCCTTGAACGGTCTGATATTCACCACCACGTCACGCCTTGAACGGTCACGATATTCACCACCGATCAGTTCATCGCTCGCGATCACTAAAAAATGGTAAATCCATTTTCAGGTCAATTTAGGCGCTGTCATCCACATGCAGGCATGGTAGGCGAAGTCTTTCAATTCCAGAAGATTTTGCTTCAGAGTAAAAAGTTTAATCTTATACATATGAAATGTTTATTGTTCATTAAAATGAACTTCCTTTATACCAATAACATTCGTGCAAATGTTTTGTGGTTTTAGTTTTCCTAAAGGTTCCAGTACAAAGTTGCACATGTTAAATGCAAATGTCAATACTTATATATAGAAATTTTAATGAAATGAAAGACGTGTTTTTATAATAATTGCATATTACAAACATTGAAAAGCGTCAAGTGAAAATTTTAACGGTCAAAAAAATTCTTTCCTTTTGAAAACCTCATTAACCGACAAGTAACTTTTAAACCAGCCTGAAGTAAAGACTGCAAAAATACATAGAGCAATGGAAAGTTGAACAATCTAATTGCCAGAATAAAGTTCCACATACACATCTGACTGGTGAACCCCTTGTCAAACCAAACACATAATCAATACACTTCGTAGTGTAAAATGGTAGCTATTAAACAGCCGATAAATTTCGTTTAGTGTGTTTTGAATAGAGATTTGAAGAGAAGAGTGTTGCTTTATATGAATCTTTGCTTCCTGTTTATTTACTCAAAAGTAATAGCTCAAAGGCTTCAATCAAAGTTCAAATTTCTCAATCCTTTTGTTTACATTTTCGCGTTTGCGGTTCGATTTAATTTCTAAAACGTAAACTAACTATGATTGTCAATTTAGAAACTCCCCTTGTTCGTATATTGTAAACGTTTGGTAATCTTCTTCAAAATCGATGCAATTTGCAATTGAGTCTAAATGACAGTTAAGATCACCATCTAAATGACAGTTACACATTTGTCGCCCATAAACAAAGAGATTTTTAAGTACTCTCTGCGACACAATTGGAACATTAATTTTAAACAAACAGAACATCCGTAACATCGGCGAATTTTTCAGACTGACGGATCCGACTGTCGAAAGCTCGCTTTGTATGTGCTCACACGATCCATTTTGTGATCCGACTAATCGGATAGTGTGAACGGGCCTACATGCGGAGAAAAACGGTCCTTGATCACGTTACATCATAGTTAACTACAGGATTAATCTTTTGCTGAACAATAATTTTTCAAACCACAATAAAAATAGCACTAAAACAAGTAACTGAATTACGATTATGGCAAAATCATTTGAACTAACGAACATTCATCATACCTGTCAAATTTTTCGGCGGCAGATGCTTTATGTTTGCTTCAGGGCACCATTTCGTGTGCCACCTAGCCCTCACCTTGATAGAAAAGTCAGAAAGACGTAACTTATAGCACAAAAATATGAAATTGAAATATACCAATGTTTGGCAGCAATCCTCCCTTTCTAGCCCATAAGACTCACGAACTTACATGGGCATAGACTAACAGATAAAAATTTGGGATACTAAAATACACGTTCCTATGGCTTGAAATCCTTCCTAAAATTTAGGATTGACATTGATTGATTATTTCCTAAAACTTAGATAATTACTAATTATTTTACATTTTGTTCGCAGTGACAGTTTCCTTCCACTGTTGATAAATAAATTTTTTCAAAAATCACCATCATATTTACCTGGTCGAGGTTTCCAGTTCTTCTGTTCTTCCTCTTTCCACATCTACCTACCAATACATACCGCCGTCAATCTTCTTACCGTCAGCATGTTTATAAGCGGCTACAATGGTACAGGAAACAACTAAGGACTAACTCAAACAAACACCAAAAACCAAACAACTGCCTGGTACATAAATAGGTAGGCAGGTGGATTTTCCAGACCAGAAATCGACAACGCCGAAGATAAACCGATAATCACCCATATTTGCTTACTGTAGCGAAAATATTGAAGCAAACATCGAGAAACAGCTTTGCATGATTTATTTCAGTCGAGGTTTGCATCACGTAGGCTGGACGGTAAAATAGGTACAGAAATGCGTACATAATGGGTAGCCTATCAAGTGCATGGCTAGTAAATGAATTAGATTTAATGAATATAGTTCAAATAAGTTGCATATTTAATACTATTTAAATAAAACTTGTTCACGATTGGAAATGTTTTTATAGTTACGACCATATATTTATTTAACTCTTTTGCTTTCGAGACTGTAGCTTAGCTTGAATGTCACGTGACCGGACTCAATTTATTTTGACGAACGCTGGATCATTGTTGACATGCTTGACTTTTATGGTATAAAATATAATTTGTTTTTGGGATCAAAACCGAAGCTTATAAAATTTGTATAAAATGGCGCCGTTACCGACTTATATCTAACGTGCAAGTCATTTCACACTGTTTCGAATCTGGGTAAATGGAGAATATATAAGAGCCGCCTATCGAAAACATGTCGTAATTATTCCGATATAGGTAAAATAAAGTGCTTCTGAGACAAATAATACCTCAACTTTAAAATGGCAAATACTCATACTTACAAAACACACATACTGCAAACATGATTCAGAGTTCTTATTAACTTGTCCAAACTTTTCATTAATTCATTCAAAACAATTATTCACTTCGAATTGAGCGAAATTGGGGACGACTTTCAAGGGATTTCAATACTTGGAGGAAGTTTTGAAGTCAAAGAAAACTAGCATCGCCTATGTATATTCCCGAATGTACTGCATAATCTTATACTGTAGCAGTAGACAAGCTTAGCTTTCAAATTTAATCAAATTGATCCACATCCCTTTCTATTTCGCAACCTGATGCTATAGTACGAGATTTAACATTACTTAGATTTGGACTTAAGTCAAAGTGAAGCTACACTTTGTGCATTTTTAAACATTGTACGCAGTGCCAAAAATAGGGAGCATTATGAGTTTGTAAAACAGCAGTTTTGGTGAGTGGAATTGAAATTATCAATTAGCATTGCAAGAGCTATTAAAACGTATTTTTCGTGATCAGAAATTTGAATTTGTTGCAAAACTATTTGCCTCTTTTGAGTAAACAATATTTTCTTTGTTTAAAAGCATTCGAATGTATTACAACCTATACCCACCAAAATACCAGTTAAATGAAACATTTTAAAGGTCCGACAGTGTTAGCTATGGCATAGGAGCGAGCAATCGTCTGTTGCCATTCTTGGCAATATCGACAGTATTTACTACAATGATTAAATAATAGCAGCATATTACATTGATTGCATTAAGGTGAAAGTGTTGGAAACACCACCGGAAAAAATGGTGGAAGATATCGATGGCATTGATTGAAAAATTATTAAAAACGTGATAAAAATCAGTTTTTTGTT